GAATGAGAATGAATCCCAAGCAGTCTCCCCGCTGTCAGCACAGAGCCCAACACAAAGCTAGAACTCATGATGCATGAGATCGTGACCTGAGCCAAAATCAAGAGTCAAATGCTTAAACGACTGAGCCACTCAAGTGCCCCTACGGTCCAGCTTTTTAATGCTCAAAGGATAACACAGGGGTTTCCTACCCACGCCACGCTCAGAGACCACTCAGGGAAAGACCCCTGATTGGAAAGACCTACCTCTTAGACCCTTGCCAAGTATTTCAAGAACAGCATGGTCGCACATGTGGGCAGCTGGTAGCCACCCTACACCACTGAGAAAGAGGAGGCCACACCTGGCCTGTTAGAGGGGAAGTCCTGCCTGAACACATTCCGTCAGGCGCCAAGACGTTAGAAGGAAAAATGCCTAATGCTCAGCTAGTGAGTGGAGCCTTGCACATTCCCCCTGAACTATGGCTCCCTGGCCTTCTACCCACTGCCACATTTCTGCCGGAAACTAAGGGAAAGAAGAGTGTTGTGAGCCTAAGCGGGTCATACCCTGGAATCAGGATTGCGGTCTGTAGCAGAGCTCAGCCAATACTTTCAAGTCCAAGCAGGGGGACATACTGATCACTTACCACAACAAAATGCACATTTAATGGCCAGATTAGAATTATATTGACTCCTCTGGTCTCTAAACAATCACACCACCACCGCGTCCCAAAATGCTTGCCATCCATCTTAACGCCATAAGGCCCCAGGCCCCATCCCGGAGCATGCTCCAGGACCAGCTTATCTTTCAAGCCCTGCTGGTGTGCACCTCAATGTGTTTATAGAACTCCACAGCCAGAAGGACCCAGAAAGACCTGGCCTGACCCATCCAGAGAGATCTGGGATATGCCGCCTGACCTCTCAGTCCCCACTATGCTATGGGATGTGGCAGCTTCCTTCCCAGCTCCACTCCCTGTCTGGTAGCTCAGTTCATTATTCAAAGCCTGTGTGACTGAAGAGCAGTACTGTTTAAAGCAAGGTCAACATGGAGCAGTCAGCTGCTCGTGGTTTCAGTTCTGGAATGACCTGAGGAGCTGCCCTAAAAGTGAGGTGGTCGTCATAAAGTACACAAAGGCTTCTGGTCAAAGTCAAGGCCCTGCCAGCAGTCAGCAGTACCCTCTTGCCAAGAGAAAGACAGAAGCACCAAAGTGGTCTGCCTCTGGGAAGCCCAACCTGCAGGCTACACATGGCATAGGGCCTTGCAGCAGAGGCCATGCCACGGCGAAGGGTGTGGGCAGGTGGCCACCCTCAGCCACAGCTCACTCACCAATGACCAGCAGCACAAGGATGACAATGAGAACTACAAAGAAGGTGTTGCCGTACATCACCACCAGCTCCACCAGGCGGGACTTGAAAATCTTCTGCCATCTGTGAAGACAAAAACACTGAAGAAACAAACACACTTGGGACTCGGGGCCTCAGGGACAGAGTCGGTCCTGTACTCTTCTCCAATGGCTGATTATCTTGAAAAGACTCCGCCTCAGTGGCCTAGAGTTCTCAATTTAGGACAACTGTTCAACAGCGCAAAGAAAAAAAAAAAAAAAAAAGTTTGTCCACGTATAAAAAGTTCTAAAAAACCACAATCTTAGGGGCACCTGGGTGGCTCAGTCGGTTGAGCATCCAACTTCAGCTCAGGTCATGATCTCACCACTGGTGGGTTCGAGCCCCTCCTCGGGCTTTGTGCTGACAGCTCAGAGCCTGGTGCCTGCTTCAGATTCTGTGTCTCCACCCCCCCCCCCGCTCCTCCCCTGCTGGCACTCTGTCTCTCTCTCAAAATATACAAACGTTAAAATAATTTTTTTTAGGGGCGCCTGAGTAGCTCAATCAGTTAAGCGGCCGACTTCGGCTCAGGTCATGATCTCACAGTTTGTGAGTTCAAGCCCCACATCAGGCTCTCTGCTGACAGCTCAGAGCCTGGTGCTTGCTTCCAATTCTGTGTCTCCCTCCCTCTCTGCACCTCCCCGGCTCACACTCTGTCTCTCAAAAATAAACACTAAAAAAAAATTTTTTTAATAAAACATTTAAAAAAATTTTTTTCAAGCACAATCTTAAACACTAGTCACCTCTGGGGAAGGAAACAAAACCTTTTTCTTATTATTAAAGTTTAATTAACACACAACACACTACCGGTTTCAGGTGCAGGAAAACTCAAAAACCGAACTTCTCATTGCATTCCCCTACGTTAATATTCAAAATGCTGGCCACATGCACATTATTTCTTCAAACGGCTTCTCCACATGACCCAAATACATTCATCTAGACCCCCACCACCCTGGATCATTATAAAGCAGACCCAAGACTCCCCTTCATTTCCTTCCATAAATACTTCAGGATGGAATTCTGCCAGAAAAGCGCCTTTGGGAATGGTTAATGCAATCACAATGCCATCACCAGACCTCAAGAAAATTAACAAGAGTCCCTCATTATCAGAGCTAGAGTCCCAAAGTCCAATTGCTGCATTTGTTTTTTAAAGCTTGGTTTGTTTGAATCTGAACTGACAAGGTTTTGACTCTGCACTGAATTAGTAAGCATCTTCGATTTCTCCTCAGCCTCTTCAGTCTTCCTTCCCAATCTGCTTTTTACAGAAACCATGTTGGTTATCTTATAAAGCTGCCCAGATCGCAGCTCCAAAAGGGCCTCTGTCTCTGCATTTCTCCCCGGAACTGTATGAAGTGTGAAAAGGTTCAGATCTGGCTTTTGGCAAAAATATTCCTCAGACAAGATTGAATACTTATTTTTTCATATCAGCAGTCTATGTTTTTCGATTGAAAAGTTTTTTAAAATACCTGTGATGGGTTAGCATTATGTATAATTTTCTAATTAAAATCAGAATGTGTTCACATATCACACGTAATTAAGAATTAACTTCCAATTAACTTCGAACAGGTCCTCTGTTCTTTAAAAGGAATACAGCTTCACCTCTCATAGGCTGAGTAATGCTCACGAGGCCACAATGCCAGCGGGACTAGTTAGGACAGAAGTCACCAAATCAACTATGACATGACCCCATGGTGTGAGTCTTCCAGATGCCATACTGCCATCGCCTGAACCCTTGGAGACCAAAGGAAGGCAGAGGGCATCATTCCCAGAAACATAACTAGAGACGGGTCTTCTCCCTTTTGGGGCATTCAGAAGGCCAGAAGGCAGGGTGCACAAGAAGGGAATTCAACGAGACGTGACAAAGCAAAACCGTGTGGAAGGTCTGCCACCACAACCCCAGACAGGTTCTACCCGTTTCCACCTGGCCCCAATTCCGGGGTCTTACCAACTTTCCAGACGCAAGCTACGGGGCTCAGCAACAATCACCCTCCCGCTTGCCTGCGTGCTCCACGGGCCCTACCTTTTGGGAGAAATGAAGGGAATGCAGAGCAGCAGCACAGCAAAGACCTCTGCGTAGAGGAAGGTGGCGACTGCAGTCCACTGCAGACTCATCCTGTTGCTAGAAGGTTTCCAACACTGAGATGTGAGCTTGTTTCCTGACAGGACAGAAAAGGGCCAGAAGTCGTGACAGCTGAGCGGCCACTCTTTACCCTCCACCCCAGCATTCTACTCGTTTTCCTAAACCACTGGCTGAAACTGGGCTCGACTCGGCCGGGATACTTGGCCAACAGCGCTCAAAGGCCTAACAAACTCCCGTTTGTCAGGGCGGAGGTACTTGCCGCCTTCTAGTATGTGCGTTAAAAGCCACCTTTCTGGAGAATTCCTTTCCCGGCTGAGTGGGACAAACTCCTTAAGGCCTGCCTAGCCCGGACACTGTTTTTGGATAAAGATCAGGCAGACAGAAAATTCTCGACGTCCATCAGGCCCTCTCCCTCCCCAGCCAGCCCCGGGGCGGCAGTGTCCCGGTAACGCACTTTCTCCGAGAGCCGCGGCGTGCCCGCCCCCCAGGAAAACCGGGAGACCCTTCCCTGCCGAGCCTTTGAGCTTTGTCCACAGAGCCGAAAGAGAACCTGCAGCCTCCCTCCGGGGCGAGAGCAGGGGCTAAAAATGGCCTTCCGACGTCCCGGCTGCCTCCCACGAGGTGGGAGAACTCGAGGTGCCTCAGCAAGCCCCGAAGAGCGACTCCTACCGGGAGTCGGGGCCAAAAACAAACGCAGATCCCGACTAACCGCGCCTCAGGGCCCCATCTACAGAAAGTTCTAGAAGCAGCGGTCTTTCGGAAACCGGAAGAGCCCCTCTCCTCAGCCCCGGTTGGCCGCTGCGCTCTCCCGGCTCGAGACCCGCCCCCGCGCTCCACCCGCGCGGCCGCCCGACGCGGCCCTAGCCCGCCACGCCCTCCACAGGCCCCACCCCGGCGGCCCCTCCCGAGAGGCTCCGCCACCGCCCCTCACCGCCGCGCCGGCCCTCACGCCCCCGGAGCCCAACGGCAGCCGCCGCCCCGACTTCGCTGCCCAGCCCTGCCCCTGCACTCCCAGCTCGGCCGTCGGCCCCACGCCGCCGCCCCTCGTCGAAGGCCGGGAGGACCACGCTCACCGAGCTTCCCACAGCCAACGCACACGCCCCGCCGCCGTCACCAGACGCTCCCACCGCAGCCCCGGCCCCGCCCCTTCCCCCGCGGCCGGAAACCGGAAGCACCCGCCGCGCCCCGCCCCAATCCCAGCCGCACCCAGGTCCCGGCGACTCCGCCCACAGCCGGTTTTCGCCCCGCCCCCGAGCCGAGGCTCCAACGCCCCAGACTGGAGGCGAAGGGGCGCCTCGAGGCTGGGCGGCGGCGCCTCGAGAGCGCGCCGGGAGGAGGGGCGGGGCCTTGGCGAGAAAGCTAGGGGCCGCTTCTCTGGCCCGCGCGGTCCTCCCACGTCTCACTGGTCCGGGGAAGGGGCGGGGCCCAGTCGTGGGGCGAGAACGGGGTGGGGCTCGCTGCGCCCGGGCTCCGCCTTCCGCCCCTCCTCCGCCTCCTCCCCTTCCCTCGACTCGCCCCTTGGGGAGGGGTTGGGTGGGTGGGGATTCTGGGCGGGTGGCGGAGTCACTGTCGGCTTCAGTCAGGCTGCGGAGCTGACGGACGCGCCTAGTGCCCCGGGGAGGGGAGCCACCAGGAGTGAAGGTAGAGGAGGAGGTGTAGAGGAAGAGACGCCCTCTCTGCCGGGACCCCCTCCCTCCGCCCCCCGAGGCTCTGACCCCAGGGGTTAGGGGCCTGACAAGTTTCTCCACCTTGGCTGCCTGAAGAGGCCGCTACCCTGGAGGGCCCTGAGCCCCCCGCACCAGGGGCCCCAGCACCGCCCCGGTGGCCTAACGCGACAGTTTCAGGGACCACTGCAAGGTTTCCAGTGGCCTAGACAACCCAGGAGCCCAGGGTCAGAGCAACAACCCTTCCTGCCACCTGCCTCGACTTCTGCCTCAGGCACCAGTCCCGGCCCCCGTGCATCCAGCCCAGGTGACATGCCGGTACTCTCCACGCCCAGGCCCTCGCGGGTGACCACGCTGAAGCGCACAGCTCTGGTCCTGGCCCTCACCGCCTATGGAGCCCACAAAATCTACCCTCTGGTGCGGCAGTACCTAGCTGCAAGCAGGGGCCCTCAGGTCCCAGCAGGGGAGTCCACGCAGGAGGTCTCTGGGGCCACGGCGGCCAAGGCCAGCGTGAACAGAGTGTTCTTGCGGCGGCTCTTGGGGCTCCTCCGGCTGCTCTTCCCCAGGACCCTGTGCCGGGAAACAGGGCTGCTGGCGCTGCATTCGGCCTCCCTGGTGAGCCGGACTTTCCTGTCGGTGTACGTGGCCCGCCTGGACGGCCGGCTGGCCCGCAGCATCGTGCGCAAGGACCCGCGGGCCTTCGGCTGGCAGCTCCTGCAGTGGCTCCTCATCGCTCTCCCTGCCACCTTCATCAACAGTGCCATCCGGTACCTCGAGGGCCAGCTGGCCCTGTCTTTCCGCAGCCGTCTAGTGGCCCACGCCTACAGCCTCTACTTTTCCCAGCAGACGTACTACAGAGTCAGCAACATGGACGGGCGCCTTCGCAACCCTGACCAGTCCCTGACGGAGGACGTGGTGGCCTTTGCCGCTTCGGTGGCCCACCTCTACTCCAACCTCACCAAGCCGCTCCTGGACGTCGCCGTGACGGCCTACACCCTGGTTCGAGCGGCCCGCTCCCGTGGGGCCGGCACGGCCTGGCCCTCGGCCATCGCCGGACTCGTCGTGTTCCTCACAGCCAACGTGCTGCGGGCTTTCTCACCTAAGTTTGGCGAGCTGGTGGCAGAGGAGGCGCGGCGGAAGGGAGAGCTGCGCTACATGCACTCTCGAGTGGTGGCCAACTCAGAGGAGATCGCCTTCTATGGGGGCCACGAGGTGGGGCAGGCTGGGGTGCTGGGAGACCAGGGGGCAGGCAGCCATGGACAGCATGGAAAGCCCAGGCCTGGCTGGGGCTCATGCCAGAGGTGTGGGTAGGTCACAGAAGACGAAGGCTGGGGACGACAGGGCCTTGGGCAGCCCAGACTTAGGCACAGAAATGGAGAAGCAGGAAGGCTGGGCGGGGCCTGCCCAGGGCCGGCTGCCCGCATGCTCCAGGCCACTTCTGCTTCCTCTCCTCCTCCGAGTGGTTGGCCTGGCTTAGGAGCTGTGGATCCTAGCAGTTTCAGATGGTAGAGCTCCCTGCTTGCTCCCCTCGTACAGCCAGCCCGGAGGAGGCTCCTGACCATCCAGGAGCAGGGACAGGGGGACACGGCCTGCTGCCTGGCCCCTCCTGGGCCCCCCGGGCCCTTTGAAGGCCGGCATCTGGCCAAGCTGGTGGGCCAAGCAGGCTGGCATTATGGGCATGACTCAGCCCAAGCGGGGGTTAACGAGCAGCACCCGGCGCGGCGGCCACAGCGGTGGCAGCGCTGGGCACTCGGGGTCAAAGCCTCCCCCGCCTTAGCCCACAGGCCGGTCGGGCTACCTGCTAGGCTGCCTGCCTCCCCAGGCCCCGGGGCCAGGGATGCCGGGACCAGGCCGCCGCCGCCGCCGCCGCCGGACGCACTTCCTGCCCGCCCGGCGGCCACCCTGCCCCCCCCCCGCTGCGCGGCCGCCCTTCCGCCTGGGTCCCAGGCCTGCCGGAGCCCGGCTGGGAAAGGTTACTCAGGGCCACTGCTCCCTTTATCTCGCCTCGGCCCCTCCCCTTCCTCGTGCCTGGGGCTGCAGCTGCCTCCGGCCCTGCTCTCTGCTACTCTGGTTTCAGTTCCCGAGGGCTTCTCGAGGGAGGGGCACAATGGCATCCACCTCCTGAAGGCCCGTGTGTCCTCCCTAGGTGGTCTCTTGTCCCGGGGGCTTGTTTCATTGGCTGCACACTGGGGAGAGGCTGTGATTTAAAAAAAAAAAAAAAAAAAAAGATTTGTCCCTGAACTCTGCAGAAGGGGCATCCTGGGTGTAGGCAGGGCTTCAGATTAAGAGAAAATGCCTGGTCTGCAGCCACAACCCATCTCTCCCGCACTCTGGGCCGCAGGGCCTTGGCAAGCAGCCACGGCCTTGGGTGAGGCGCTTGGCACATTACCCGCAGCTACATTGTCAGCCCCAGCTGACAGCTCCCAGCACGAGCCTGGATCGCCAGGGTGCTCACTTCAGGAACTGGGATCGGGCTCGATGCGAAGCCAGGCGATGCGGCCGACCGGGCTGGTGGGGGCAGGAGAGCCCCGCTGTGGCCCCGCAGCCTATCTCTTTAGACCCGGGCTGAAGGGCTGGAAAGCAGTGTGAGGTGATAGGCCCTGACGGGTGGGTTGGTTGCCTTCGCTGTGCACACAAGGGGGTCACCCCAGTCTCAGCAGCCCCTGGGGACAGTGGCCCAGGCTAGGGCGCAGGTGACTGGCTGGCTGGAAGGCAGACCTCACAGTATTCTGCTCTCATTGAGATTTCATTGAGGAGGCCCATCTAGCTTTCATTCAGGAGGCGGAAGCGCACGCTTGCACGCACGCACATACACACAGACTCTTGCTGGCTTGAGAACAAGGTAAGTCTCTCTTAGAAGTCAAGGCATCATTTATGAGAATCTGGTTCTCTCTTAATGGCTCTGCCAGTGTGGTCCAAATTACACATCTTTTGCTCCTCCTCAGCCAGGTCACTTTGCCACTTGGGGCTCGGGGCTTGTCCTACGGTACAGCGGCCGTGAGAATACACGTGTGACATCACGCGTTGAGAATCGAACGGAGAGTCGGGTGTGAAAGTACTTGGCAAAGGAAACGGTGCCAGGCAGCTGTGGTCAGCCGGGGTGGGAAGGCAGGGCCGCGGCACACGCCGCTGTACTGAGCCAAGGGATCCGCAGCCTAATGGCCACCTTGCCATGACCGGTTCCTGACACCCCCTGGTCCCCCCCACCTTGCCTCTCCTGCTCTCTTCTCCAGACCTCGCGTGGCCCCCTCTCCCCGGCAGTCCCCGTCCTGAGGTAGTGGGTGGGGGCCAGTGCAGTGCGGAGAGCAGGGCAGCGCTGGCTCGGGAGCCCGCCGGCCGGGAGGGTGCCGCAGAGGGCCCTTGTCCACAAGAAGCTGGGGCAGGTGAGGGAGGCGGGGCCTACGGAGGTCAAGACTCAAAGCGAGTACTGCCCTTTGCTCCCCCGTTGCTGCCCTTTGCTTAGTTCAGGGCGCACTCGCCAGCAGCTGCCCAAAGATGTCCTGAAGCTGCGCAGGGCAAAGAGAGGCACGGTAAGTGTCCCGACTAGACAGGTAGTGGAAAGAATGGGCCTCAGAAGGTGGGGGTGGCGAGTCCCTTCTCTTCCTTGCCACCGTACCCCCGTACTATGATGTCGAGCGGTCCTAAAGCCTGAAAACTGTCCCTGGTAAATGTGGCTCCGTTGTAACCCCCAGCCCTTGACGTTGTCATGGCCATCACGCGGCAGGGCATGTATGAGCGGTGCTGGGGGACTCTCGGTTGTCCCCACGGTGGTCACCGGGGGGGCCTCTGGGTCTCTCTCTCTCCTTGCCGCCCTTCCCCCGCAGGTGGAGCTGGCCCTGTTGCGGCACTCCTACGAGGACCTGGCTTCCCAGATTAACCTGATCCTGCTGGAACGCCTTTGGTACATCATGCTGGAGCAGTTCCTCATGAAGTATGTGTGGAGCGCCTCCGGCCTGCTCATGGTGGCCGTCCCCATAATCACTGCCACCGGGTACTCCGAGTCAGGTAAGAGCCAGCTCCCAGGCGGGCGGGAGCAGGGACCCTGTCCTGTCCTCCTGGGTCACTGAGCGCTAGGCGTGGGCAGACCCAGAGCTCGGCCGACGCACCTGCCCCTTCTGCTAGGGCCGTGAGGCCCGCCTGGCATCCTTGACGGCAGCAAAGGTCACACTGCTCCTGGTTGCCTTCTGCTCTGCGGGTGTCTCCGCTCTCCAGCACCTCACACTCCTGGGTAGCCTTCAGCTGAGCCCCAGGGGCCGTGGGCCAGGAGCGTCGCACGCCCCTTGCTCGGGCCCGAGCACCCTTGCCCGCCTGGCCCTGTCCTCGGCTCAGTGCCACCTGCGGGTGGGAGCGACCTTCTGGGAGCTACCTCAGCGCTCGGGCCTCGGCTTCCGCATGCCTAAAACAACTTCTCTAGGTTGCAGCGGATATAGACCTCTGCCCTACGGCCTGGGGTGGGGGTGGGGGACAGGGAGGCCTCCTTGCTTTTCACTTTAGCTACGGGGTCATCAGAATTCCCATTTTGTTCCACTAACTGGCAGTCTTGTCGTGGTTGCCCTCTGAAAGGCTAACACGAGCACAGGAGAGTAGGCGCTCCTTCCCCCAGCCTCTAGAACATTCTAGCCCCGGCACCGCCCATGCTGATGTTTGGCGTAGCCCCGTGTCAAGTTTGCTTTCCTGTTATTTTTAGGCTCAGCTATTGCTTTATCGGGTCGATGTGGGTTTAACTTCAGCACTGTGTTGACTGATTTCTTTGCTCATCCATCCTTCCCCACAGCCCAGTTACCTTCTTCCAGATAGAGGTCTTCTAAAAGTTCTTTCGGCAAGGCTTTCATCAGGGGAGCTTTGAGATTATTTTGTTGTTTCTTTCCCCCAAAATTTGGTTGGGTGTGGGAGCCGAGGGTGTTACTTTCTCTCAGTCCCTGACAATATTCCATGGTCTCTGTTGGAAAATCCACTATCAGCTTACCGGCCCCTAGCAGCCTGTGTTGTCTTCTTTGCGCCCTCCAGGTTCCCTATGCAGGGTTTATCCGTAGGTTTCTGGTTATCCATACTTGTTGTATGGCCTTTGTATGTTCAGACCTTTCCATCATTCTGGAAAATTCTCAGCTGTTACCTTTTCACATGTTGCCTTGGTCTCGTTCCTCTGCTCTTTCCTTCTGGAACTCCCACTAGACGCGCGGGTCTTCGCCCTCCCCCACCTAACACTGTGCTGAATCCTGGGAAATTGCCTCAGATCTTTCTGCTCACTCACTCATCAGTGTGCTTTTCAGCTGTGTCTGATCTGAAGAGTTTTAAAATTTCAATGACTATTTCTTTTTTTAATAATTTTTTAAGTTTATTAACTGATTTTGAGAGAGAGAGAGAGAGAGAGCACAGGTAGGAGGGGCAGAGAAAGAGACAGAGAGAAGGGGGGAGAGAAATGAATCCCAGCAGGCTCTGCACTGACAGCACAGAGCCCAGTGTGGGGTTGATCTCCATCTCGTGAAACAGGAAATCATGACCTGAGCTGAAACCAAGAGTCGGTTGCTTAACCAACTGAGCCACCCAGGCACCCCTCAGTGACTATTTGATTCTCTTCCACACAAAAATTTGAAAACAGAAATTTTATTCTTTCCTTCTTTCTTTCTTCCTTCTTTCCCTCCTTTCTTTTTTGGAGAGAGAGTACACATGTGCAAGCAGAGGAGATGGGCAGAAGGAGACAGAGAGAGACAGAGAATCTTTTTTTTTTTTTAATGTTTATATTTATTTTTGAGACAGAGAGAGACAGAGCACGAGCAGGGAAGGGGCAGAGAGGGAGACACAGAATCCAAAGCAGGCCCCAGGCTCTGAGCTGTCAGCACAGAGCCCTACCAGGGGCTTGAACTCGTCAACTGCGAGATCATGACCTGAGTGGAAGTCGGATGCTCAACGAATTGAGCCACCCAGGTGCCCCAAGAGAGAGGATCTTAAACAGGCTCCATGTTCCGCATGGAGCTCAACACAGGGCTCGATCCCACGACCCTGGGATCATGACCCAGTGTGAAATCAAGAAACCGACTGAGCCACCCAGGCGCACTGAAATTTTTCTTTTCAGATATGAATTCCAAACTGTTTTTATAAGTGTCTGATTTTCTCATCTTTTGGACTGCTCCTCTTAAGCTCCATGGTCTCTATCCAACTATTTGCTTCTCTGAATTCTTGGGGACCTAGGCCACCTTTATCTTCCATCTGCTGGTCTTCACTCGTGGTGTTTCATTTCCCTGTGGGTTTTGCAACCAGACTTCCATGGGAGCCCTGAGTGGTCTGACTGCAGGGGTAATTCTCCAGCGCGGTGTGCCCTTGCTTCTGTTTGGGCCACGCACATCTGGCTAATTAGCCAACTGGAGGTCATTTCGCATTAGCTTCTCCACTTGGGGAGGAGGGGTTTCTGAACTTAGAGGCAGTATTAATTTGAACTCCATACACACATAATTACAGATTCTTATCTGTAATTTTTTGTTGCGTGTTCAGTGCGCCCAGAGCCCCAGCCGCACAACAGAAGCTTCCCTGTGTTCTCCCATCTCTGGAGATTTCATGGGAGCACTTGGCTGCCGGCTTCTCTCTGCCCTCCTGGGAATGTCCCTTGTCTTCCTTGGAGCACAGCTCTGCTTTAAAAGGTGTTATGCTGGGGCTCCTGAGTGGCTCAGTCGGTTGAGCGTCCAACTCTTGATTTCGGCTCAGGTCATGATCCCAGGGTCATGGGATCGAGCCCCACGTTGGGCTCCATGCTCAGCATGGAGCCTGCTTGGAATTCTCTCTCTCCCTCTGCCCTCACACTCACTCTCGCTCTCTCTGAAAAATGAATGAGTGAATGAATGAATGAATGAATGAATAGTTCTACTTTGGGACCCCTGGCCGGCTTAGTCTGTAGAGCATGCAACTCTCTATGGGCACGGAGCTGCTTAAAATAAGAATTTTTGTTTAATTTTAAATAAATAAAATGAAAGGTGTTATACTTTGGGGCACCTGGCTGGCTTACTCGGTATATGCGACTCTTGATCTCAGGGTTGTGAGTTGGAGCCCCATGTTGGGTGTAGCTAGAGCTTACTTAAAAAAATAAAATCAGGGTACCTGGGTGGCTCAGTCAGTTGAGTGTCCAACTTCAGCTCAGTTCATGATCTCCCATTCGTGGGTTCAAGCCCTGCATCGGGCTCTGTGCTGACAGCTCAGAGCCTGGAGCCTGCTTCGGGTTCTTTGTCTCCCCCTCTCTCTGCCCCTCCCCTGCTTGTACTCTGTCTCTCAGAAAATAAAATAAAACATTAAAAAAAAAAAAGAGCTTACTTAAAAAAATAAGTAAAATCACAGCACCTGGGTGGCTCAGTTGGTTGAGGTTCCAACTCTTGATTTTGGCTGAGGTCACAATCCCAGGGTCATGGGATCGAGCCCCACATTGGGCTCCACGCTGAGCTGCTTGGCATTCTCTCTCTCTCTCCTCTGCCCCTCTGACCCCACTTGCATGTGCCCACACACTCACTTGCTCTTTCTCTAAAACATAAATAAATAAATAAGCAAGTAAATAGTTACACTTCAGGGCGCCTGGCTGGCTCAGTCAGTAGAGCATGCAACTCTTGATCTCAGGGTCATGAGTTCAAGCCCCACGATGGGCGTGGAGCATGCTTAAAACAAAAATTTTTAAATATTTAAATAAAATAAGAAGTGTTGTATTTTGAGGCACCTGGCTGGCTCACTTGGTGGTGTATGCGATTCTTGATCTCGGGGTTGTGAGTTGGAGCCTCATGTTGGGTGTAAGTAGAGCTTACTTTAAAAAATAAAATAAAATCTGGGTGCCTGAGTAGCTAAGTTGGTTAAGTGTACAGCTCTTGATTTTGGTTGAGATCATGATCTCACTGTGGACTCTGCACTGTCCCTCTGCCCCTCCCCTGCTTGCATTTTCCCCCCTCTCTCTTTCTCTCTCTCTCTCAATAAAGGAAATAAAATATGTTTTAAATTTTCTGAAAATAAAAGGTGTCATATTTTATGCAGTTCCGTAGTAAGAAGATTTTCAGTTATATATAAAGAGAGAGAGGGGAGCCTGGGTGGCTCAGTCAGTTAAGTGACCGGCTCTTGATTTCAGCTCAGGTCATGATATTGAGGTTCATGAGTTCAAGCCCCACATCTGGCTCCGTGCTGACAGTGCAAAGCCTGCTGGAGATTCTCTTTCTCTCCTCTCTCTGCCCCTCCTATGCATGCTTGCGCTCTGTCTCCCTCTCTCTCTCAAAATAAGTAAAATAAACTTTAAAAATTTTTTAAAAACAGAGAGAGAGAGAGAGGCTGACTTGTTTCAGAACCAGAAGAGAGAGAGAGAGAGAGGCTGACTTGTTTCAGAACCAGAAGTCTCTCTGATTCTCTCCCTATTTGTGTGTCTGCCTTGGGCTTTTGTTTTTTTTGTTTTGTTTTGTTTTGTTTTTAATTTTTTTTAAATGTTTTATTTATTTCTAGGAGAGAGAGAGAGAGAGAGACAGCGTGAGCAGGGGAGGGTCAGAGAGAGAGGGAGTCACAGACTGAAACAGGCTCCAGGCTCTGAGCTGGCAGTCAGCACAGAGCCCGACGCGGGGCTCGAACCCACGAACCGCGAGATCATGACCTAAGCGAAAATCGGACGCTTAACCGACTAAGCCACCCAGGCGCCCCTGCCTTGGGCTTTTGTACCCTCAGCTGTGTGTCCCTCACTGGGTAACCCACAAGGGGAAAGGTCTATTGAAGGGGGATTAGTACTTCTCACCACAAAGGTCTGACAAAAAGGGCGGCCTTGAGTTAGGCACAGGCGCCAGACTCGCTCAGCAGCCCTGGCCTAGAGCACGGGCCGCCCACAAGGAAAGTGGCCTGTGGGTTCTGGGAGGAAGCGCCTGCGGCTACTTTCCTCTAGAGCCGGTGCCCAGGCCTGTCTGGTCCCGAGGCCTCTCCCTCCTGTGAAAGCGGAGGACTTTTGGGAGCCCCTGCTACACCAGACTTTGTGAGCAATTCAAAGAAGCGTGAGCTCTTGTCCCTGGCCTCGCGGCCCTTCATAGTTAGTTGCCTGTGACAATGAAATACTGCCCACCTTGTTCAGTCCGCTTCTGACTCACAGCCTCCTTGTTATTCCCCCCGAAGCAATGCTTCTGCCACAGGGCCTTTGCAAGTGACTGCTCTATTTGCAAGTGATGCTTCCCTCTGATACCCCCCCCCACTCCCCTTCCCCCGCCTCCCCCGCTGCTGTCCTGACAGTGAACACCCTGTCTGTTCTACTTCTCTGTTTGCTTTACTGTCACTCTGCCACTTTAGGCTGTGTGCTCGGGGGGGGGGGGGGGGGGGGGGGGGGGGAGGGCGGGGGGGGCGGGGGTTTTTGTCTGTTTTGTCCTTGCTGCGTCCCCGGCCCCCGGTGGCTAGTGAGGTCTCTAGGTGCCCCGAGGAGGCTGAGAGCACTGGGGACCAACGGGAGGAGGCAGACACTTTATCGGTTGGGGGAAATTCAGGTACCTTTGCCCTCCTGGCCCGGAGCTGCAAGGCCAGAGGGCCCAGGGGAGGAGTGGCCTAGCTGTGAACGGCTGCCCCTCCATCCACCCCAGGGCCCTGGTCTTAGCTGCCTGAGTGTCTGGGGTAAGTTACGGCGAGGGCAGTGAGTTGTGTCTCCCAGAGGTGCCAACCGTTGCCAAGATGCCCCCGGCAGCTGCACACGCCGCCCCTGTGTGTGCGGTCACTGTCCCGCTCTCAGGACCTCTGGGGAGGAGGGCTTATGGCCCCCCCTGCCTGCTGGGGGCTGTGTCCCCCGGGGCACGATGGGAAGGCAGGCCTAGGCCCATAGACTGTCAGGATTAAGACCCCTACCCTGCCACCCCATCCTGTCCCCTGGGTTCCTGGGCCAGGCCCACGAGAAGGCAACACAAGGCTCTCGGGCCATCCGTCCCATCCACTTTCCACCCTGTTCTCTTCTGGAGGCCATCGGCCCTGAACTGGCTTCCCGACCTCCCCACCCCCCCCCCCCCCCCTCATAACCCTAGGGCGCCCGCCTGATGACCCCCCCCCCCCCCCCCCCATAGAGTCCCTGGGCTCTGCACAGAACCTTCCTTCCCACCACTTCAGCCCGGGAGCCTCTGCTTCCACTGGGTCCCTCCAGCGGCCACTGTTCACTCTCCCACACCCCAGGACCTCAGAGTCCGCCTCTCCCTTGCTCCCCATCACGGTTTCCAGAGCATTCCTTGTGCAAAAGCCCTGCCCCCTGAGAGCTCTAAGGGTCAAGGGAGTCAAGGCCACTGACAGGAGACGATTGAAGTGAGCAAACACGGGGTCTAGACTGAAACAGACGAGCAAGTCAAGACAGAAACAGGCTCCCAGAGACAAATAGAGGCGTCAAGGAGGACCAGGCTCACAGAGGTCAAAGAATACAGCGCCGAGGGGCGAGCTGAGGGAGAGACGGGCGTAGCAGTGGGGGGTCCATGAGGGACATTGGTGTTGGAGAGGCCCGGGGTGCACAGCTCTGGGCCTCAGATCAGATGCCGGTGTGGCCCCGAGGGGCCGCTGTAGTCAGTGCGGGACACTGGCGGAGGGCAGTTTCGGGGGAAGGAGCTGGTGGTGCCTAAAAAGAAAGCCAAATGCCTCGTGGCTCACTGTCTCACCCCAATTGTTGAGATGTAATCAACATACCATACAATTCAGCCTTTTAAAGGATACAATTCGGCGGTTTTTAATATAGTTACAAATTGTGCGACCGTCACCACCATCTAAGTCCAAAACATCGTCATCACCCCAAAAGGAAACCCTGGACTCATTAGCAGTCACCCTGCACCCCACCCCGGGCATCTTTCTGGTCCTGTAGCTTTGCCTCTGGTGGGCATTTCTCAGAAATGGAATCATTCAACATGTGGCCTTTTGAGTCTGGCCTCTTTCACCCAGCATAACACTTTTCAAGGCTCAGCCACATTGTGGGGTGAGTCAGTGCTCCTTCACTCCCTTTCGTGCCTGAATAATACTCATATATATACGTACATGCGTACACGTACCACAGTCTCTTTCCTCTCCCACCACTGACGGACGTTTGGTGCTTGTGAGTGATGTTGCCGTGATCATTCGTATACAGGTTCTCGTGTGAACGGATATTTTTGTTTCTCCTGGATACATATCCAGGCATGGGATTGCTGAGTTCTCTGGTACCTCTATGTTGAACTTTTTGAGGAAGTGCCGGGCTGTTTTCCCTGGTGGCCACGCCATCTTACATCCCTCACAGCAGCGTGTGAGGGGGCCCGTTTTTCCTCTTCCTCACCAACGCCTGTTATTATTCCTTTCTAATTCTAGCCGTCCTAGTGCATGTGAAGTGGTATCCCATTGTCTCATTGTTGTTTTTTTTTTAAGTTGATATATTTTTGAGAGAGACAGAGACAGCATGAGCGAGAGAAGGGCAGTGAGAGAGAGAGGGAGGGAGGGAGAATCCCAAGCAGGCTCCGCACTGTCAGCAGGGAGCTGTATGTGGGGCTCACACCCACGAACCAGTGAGATCGTGACCTGAGCCGAAACCTGGACTGGGCCACCCAGGCACCCCTCGTTGCAGTTTTGACTTATATTTCTCTGGCAACTAAGAGTGTGGAGCATCTTTTCATGTGCTTATTGGCCGTTCGTAGATCTAAGAAATACAGTAGCAATGCCAATTCAGAGCTTTTGCCCATTGTTTAATTGGGTTCGCTTTGTTGTTGAATTGAAAAAGTTCTTTACATATTCCGGATACGAGACCCTCATCAGATACGTGATTTGCAGCTGTGTTCCCCCAGTCTATAGGTTGTCTTTTCACTTGCTTTATGGTTTCTTTCGGTGCCCAAAAGGTTCTAATTGTGATGAAGCTCATTTATCTGTTTTTCTTTTGTGGCCTGTACTTTTGATGTCATATTTAAGGAGCCAGACCTAATCCCAGGTCACAGAGCCTTAATGCCCGCTTTCTTCTAAGAGTTTTATAGTCTCAGCACATACGTGCAGGCCGGTGCTCCACTTTGACTTGGCTTGTGTGTGTGCTGCTGGAGAGACTCGTCTTTCCCCTAGTGGGTCAGTTTTCATTCTCCGCCGTCCCCTCCCCTCCTTTCCACGGTGCTTCCTAGACTCGGAGGCGGTGAAGAAGGCAGCCTTGGAGATGAGGGAGGAGGAGCTTGTGAGCGAACGCACAGAAGCCTTCACCATTGCCCGCAACCTCCTCACCGCCGCCGCGGATGCCATTGAGCGGATCATGTCGTCCTACAAGGAGGTACCCTCCCCCCAGCCCAGCCCTCACCCCCGCTGTGCCCCACCGCACCTCCCCAGCCGGCAGGGTCAGAACCAGCATCACCATCCCCGCAGGTGACAGAGCTGGCCGGCTACACAGCCCGAGTACACGAGATGTTCCAGGTGTTCGAAGATGTCCGGCACTGCCGTTTCAAGAGGCCTGGCGAGCTGGAGGACACTCGGGCGGGAGCCGGGCCTGTGGTGTGGCCTGGTGCCCGTGTAGAGGGTCCTCTGCAGATCCGAGGTAAGGGCACCCTCCCCACAGACGCCCCCCCACCCAGAGGCCAGTGTCTTCGAGCCGCGCCTCAGGGAGGGCTTCCCCGGGCCTGCTGTGCCCCCTGCCCCCCCGTGGCTGCCTTCTCCAGAGTGGTAGCCGCTGGCCAACCCCTCGCTTGCAGGGGTTCCTTCCCGGTGCTCTGGCTGAGATTTTTCCTAGTTCTCTTTGCAAAAGAGGGGGACGCGGTCCCTGAGTAAAGGGGATCGCTCTCCCCTGTGGGCAGCAAGAGAAAGTTTAACACTACAGCAGAGGCCAAGATGCTGTGGAAAAGAAGCCCAGGCATCGAAGCCACCATTAAAATGGTAGTGACAGCTGAGGGTTTTATGGAGCAAGGGTGGACCCCGAGCCTCAGGTGCCAGCAGCCAGGGAATTGACTTCACCCCTGCCCTGCCCAGAGCTCAGCACCAGACACTGGCTGGTCGGTGAGCTTATGGAGGACCCAGCGTATTCCCAGGGGGCCGCGGACCACACGCTCTAAGGGGTGGGGGAGGGGTTCCATGGAATCCGCCAGAAGGCAGAGGGAGTGCTGCTGCTCCCTCCATTCCTTCATTGTGTTCTGTCTCCAGGCCAAGTGGTAGACGTGGAACAGGGAATTGTTTGTGAGAACATCCCCATCATCACGCCCACGGGAGAGGTGGTGGTGGCCAGCCTCAACATCAGGGTAGGTCACATGGGGGACGGGTGGCCGGGGTGCCTGACCCGGAAGTGTGGGCTGGGCTAGGCTGAGCTACCCTGGGCCCAGCCTTTTGCATCTACGAGCCCCAATCCTCGGTGTCCGGCCGGCTGGGCCTGCATATGTTGTCAGTCCCCAGGTCTACTTGGCAGGCGGGCTAAGGTCAAGGTGAGAGGCCACCCTCCCTGCCCCCACCCCTGAGGAGCCTGGGTCCTGGGGCCTCCAGTTCAACTCCAACTATGGCAGAATGGATTGCCCTAGTGACCTGGGCTTGGGGTCCCCCCATCTGCTTCGAGACACCCCCCAGTGCAGGTGTGTGCCGAGTCGAGCCTGGCCTACTGGAAGGGCTCTCAGCCACTACAGAGGCTGTTTTTAGAAAGGAGGCTCTGGTGGCCAACACCCACCGGTCACCTGTGTCCCTAGCCAGAGCTTTGGACAGGGTCAAGGAATGATGGACTGAAGAAGAGACCTGCTGGCGGGGGTGGGGGCTGGGGGGATCAGGGTAAGAAGTAAGAGGGAGTCATTCATTCATTCGTGTTTTCATTCATTCAACCAATATTCCCTAAGCCCTGGGCTGGGCACTGGGAACCAGAGGTAAATTGGAGGGAGGCCCCACTCTGGGGCCCCAAAAGTATGACAAAGGTCCCCAGCTAGCCTCCTGGGATCCCATGCAGGCTACAGGAAGGGTAGTCCCGTCCCTGCGGTGAACAGAGGTCACATGAAGCTTCACCCAGGAGCCTTGGGACAGGTGGGCTGCATGATGAAGCCCTCTCCCGAGGGCAGGCAGAGAAAGGCAGTGAAGTGGCAGGAGCACAGAGCCGAGGGACCTTGGGGCCGGGTCCCGCGGGGGCCTCGTGCACCTGGCCACAGAGCCAGTTTGGCAAGAGGAAGGAAGTGGGAAGAGGCAAGTGGCTGGGTCAGTGCCTGGGGCTCCTTTCCTTGGCCTGCGGGGAGGGCCCTGAGAGCCAGCTGGAGGCGGGCACATAGACCGTGGCGTGATCCCCATCGCCCCTGCCTGTGGTCACTCTTGCGGCATGGCAGGGAGCCACCAATGATTGTTTTTTCTCAGGTGAATGATTTCCAGGTAGGCCCAGTGACAGCCAAGTAGGCCAAGACTGGGGGCCCTGCCGAGCCAGGGCCCAGCTGGTTAGGGAACATGGCCAGGTGAGGAGGGGTGACCAGGATGGAAGAGCAGGAATGGGTGGCCAAGCAGAAGCTGGGCTCTGGGGCTAGGAGACGTTGGGGGCCAGGAAGGCAACCGGGGAGGCAGCCCGGGGCTGGCTGGGGGCGGGGCGGGGCAGTCCGGCCCCACCCCCACCCAAGGGACTTTATAGTGTAACAGAGGACCACACAGTGAGGGGCTCAAACTACAGCAGTGGATCCTGGAGGCCGAAGTCCAGATGAGGGTGTCTTGTAGCTGAGGGAGGGTCTGCCTAGCCCAGGCCATCAGTGGTGTTCCCGGCCTTGGCCTCATGTCAAACTCTGCCTTCACCTTCATGTGGTATTCTCTGTGTGCATGTGTCTGTGTCTGAATGTCCCCATTTGATAGGGATACCTGTCACGTGGAATTCGGGGCCCACCCCACTCTAGAATGACCTCACCTAAATTTAATTGATTATATTTGCAAAGACTCTATTTCCCAATAAGGTCATGTTCTGAATGAGGTCTTGGGGGTTAGGACTCTAGTATATGCAATCAGACGGACACCACTCAACCCACGACACCATCACACTCAGGCGGCCTGGGGACTACGTGTGTCACAGGCGAGCAGTGCTGCCCTTAGTCATACTCTGGGAGAGCAGACAACTTAATGTGGCCTCGGACGGGGGTCAGGGTGTAGGTTGAGAGCGGTGCCCAGGTGCCTTGGCTTCATGCTCCGTGCTCTCCCTTGCCTCCCAAGGACAGTGGTCTCCCTGCCACTTGACCCCCTCCTTCCTGCACACCCCACACACACACCCCCTGCCTACAAAAGGCATTTTTGTCAGACCAGCAGGCATCTTGGAATCGGCTAACCAGGGAGCCTGAGGCCTCGACGCTGAGGCCAGGGGTCACAGAGGGATCTCCCCAGCAGCCTAGGACCCTAGGGGACAGTGAGAGGGCCACGGGGGCGGGAGGGCTGGCCAGGCGTTAGGAACAGAGTTGGGAGTTTGTACCGTCCACCTAGAACTCAAAGGAAAGTGCCTTTCCCAGGACAGGCCCTCGTGGGAAAACGAGGGACAGCGACCCTACTGGGAGAGCAAGCACACTGGGACTCCTAGTGAGGTGGGACGGCATGGCGGAGAGGGCGACGCAGGCTTGCCAGGGCCTTCCTCACGCTGGCCCCATGCTCTCTGGCACTTGTCAGGGGCTTAGGGGACAGGCTGGGGCCCAAAACAGGCGTCCGGTTAGGGCTCTGGATGCTGACCTTCATGCCTCGGGCCCTGCCGCCCCTCAGCAAGAGATTGAGAGTGGCCTAGCAGCCTGGGCACGTACCTGAGTGTGGCCACAGTCGGGAGGAGGGAGGGCACCGCGGCCCCACCTCTGCCGGGCCCCACGTGCCGCCGCTGTCCCCACAGGTGGAAGAAGGCATGCACCTGCTCATCACGGGCCCCAACGGCTGCGGCAAGAGTTCTCTGTTCCGGATCCTTGGGGGGCTGTGGCCCGCATACAGTGGCGTGCTGTACAAGCCCCCGCCCCAGCGCATGTTCTACATCCCTCAGAGGTGAGGGGGGGAGGGGGCCCCGCGCCCAGCTCTGCCCCCGCGCCCTCCCTCCTGTGGAACCTGCCGCCCAGGAGGCAGCAGAGCCTGGTGCGTCAGGAGAGGATGGCAGGATCCTGCCCCCAGAGTCAGAGGGGGTGACAACGCCTCCACCTGCCATCCTGCCCTCGCCCGCCACGTGACATGTGTGCGCGCACAGAAATGGGGGCCACCATGTGTGTGTCTGTGACCGTGTGGCATGTGCCATGCGTGAGTGGCTGTGTGCCTGCGCACGTGTGCGAGTGTGCCTGCTGTGTGAGTGCACACCTATGCACGTGGGGGGGGCGTGTGCACAGCGCGTGGTGCGCGTTCACAGTGGTTGGGGGGGGGTGTTGTGAACACTGCCTGGACTTTGTGGCAGGGGCCTGTGGGCTTGGAGTCAGCCCTGTGTCCAGCAGCCAGCACCCGTGACAGCCTGCGCGGGCACGGGCCGTCGGTGGGCGGGGGGAGGGGGAGGGGACAGGGCCAACCCTGCCCTGAGTGGACACGCAGCTTCCCCACAGGCCCTACATGTCCGTGGGCTCCTTGCGGGATCAGGTGATCTACCCAGACTCCGTGGAGGATATGCGAAGGAAAGGCTATTCAGAGCAGCACCTGGAAGCCATTCTGGACATCGTGCACTTGAACCACATCCTGCAGCGGGAAGGAGGTGAGGGGGGAGGTGGCCTGTCCCGCCTATCAGCGCCAAGGTATGAGCCACCCATCAATTGCCCTTTGTCCCAAGACTCAGCGGGGACCAGCCGCCACCCCCGCCCCTGCCTTCCTCTTGCCCCCGAGGGATAAAGATAGCCCGCGTGTCCAGGAGTTCAAAGTGCTAGGTGTCCTGGAAAGCCCCAGCCGCCTGACGGACCTGAGGTCACAGGACAAGGGAAGCCAGGCACAGCGGGAGGCATGCGGTGGGGGTGCTCACTTTCGGCCCAGGACACCCTGTCCTGGCTCTCGGGCTCCGGGGCAGGAAGGGCCCTGTGGGCAAGGCAGGGAGCCGGGGCTTTCCCTGACGATGAAGGGGGGTGACAGGTCGAGGGAGAAGACAGAGCATGGGTGTGAGCGGCACACGGGGAGCGGGACGCCTGCATTTCCGCCTTGAGCCTGGGAGGTGCTGTCCCCTGGGAAGGAGACCGTGGCGGTGGAGGGACAGGCTGGTAGCGCCCATTGTGCCCAGAAGGGAGGAGGGGAGGAGGGCTGCGGAGCTGCTGCGAGGAAAGGGAGGTGGGGCTGGGCTCGCTTCTCTTCTTGAAACCTGAGAGCCTGGGCTCCACTTCTTGCCTCAGCTTGACCTTAAGCGATGACCTCACCTCTTGAGACTCTCTTCCCCTGCAGAGGGGGACAGGGACCCGTTCCCTTCGCGCCAGCATTAAACAAAACAAATCCTGTAAGGACTCACAGCAGTTTTTTGGGGAACAGCAGGTGATTCTCGAGGCTTCTTCTCCGATGTCACCTGTGTCGGAAAGGGGCCTGGAGGTGGTGGATTTGGTGGGGCAGCTCCTCCCGGGCCTACCCTGGTTGCTGTGGTCACCCCCAGGCTTCGTCGCGGCTTCTCTGGGTCCTGCTCGGCCCTTTGCTTTCCCAGCGGCCCCACGCTTGGGAGGGCACCCCTCCTCCTCTCTTCTCTGGCGCCCCTGAGTGCACTGGGACCCTGAAGCCTACCCTCACAACCTGTGAGCGTTGAGTTCAGCTATGAGCAGCAGAACCCCCCTTCCCCGAACGGTGGCTCAAAGCAGTCACAAGTTTATCTTAACTGTGACACGAAAGTCCTGAGGAAAGCAGGCCTTAGTTGATGGAGGCAGCCCTGCTCTGTGAAAGGCCCCTCAGGTCACTCAGCTATGTTAGCCTCCGCTACCAAAGCCACCTCCTGGTCCAAGATGGCTGCTCCGGCTATTACATAACACCCCAGGCCATAGGTTGGAGAAGGGGGCGGTGGGGGAGAGGCAAGGGTATGCGCCGTCTATATAAGAAAGTTCCAGAAGCTGCCACGTGTGTAACACACTCAATACCCCACTGGCCAGAATTCAGTTACACGGTCACCCCTCACCTCAAGGCAAGCTATGGAGTAGAGGCTTTCCAGTGGCTGGGCACACGCCCTTTCAGAACTTCTAGTCCTAGGGGAAGACAGAGTGGAGGTAGGAGACGAGTCGTTTCTGCTCAGACTCGCTAAGGCACTGGCACCAAGCAATGACAGAAACACCCAGTCCCTGCAGGTGAGGACCCTTCAGGAGACACTGCTCCAGCCGTCTGTGGGCCCGTGCTGTGACCGTCGGCCGCACGCCGACAGAAGCACGGGCTGCCTCTTGGCTAGCACCCTGTCAGAGCCTGCGTGCGTCTGCTGGGGCCGCCGTGACGGGCGCCGCAGGCTGGGCACCCGAACAACAGAGACAGACTGTCTCCCGGCTCTGGAAGCCAAAAGCGCCACATCCACGGGTTGGGAGGCTCGGTCCCTTCTGGGGGCCGTGAGGGAAGGGCCAGTTCGAGGCCCGTCTCCTTGGCGTGGAGGTGGCGGTCTTCTCCCGTGCCTTCGCACGGCCCTCCCTCTGTGCGTGTCCGTTTCCAAATGTCCCCTTTTTATGACACGGTCCTCCTGGCTTGGGGCCCGCCCTCGTGACTTCCTGATAACTATCCCATCTGTAAAGACCGCGTCTCCAAGTAAGGTCACGTTCTGAGGTCCTATGGGTGAGGATTGCCGCATACCTTTCCCTGGAGGGGCCACAATTCTGTCACAAGTCTTTTTTGACTATTAAAGTCTTACCTACAGTTAGGTAAGTGGGCAGGACGCATGAACCCAGTGGCCAGCCTTCTCCAGAGTCAAATGTACCCCCGTATCGCACTCTCACTAGCCCTCCCCCCGCCCCTGGGTCTGGGCCCCTGCTGATGTCGCCCAGCCCTTGCTGAATGGAACAGAACCCCCTTGTGCCCTGGCCAGGTTGGGAAGCCGTGTGCGACTGGAAGGATGTGCTGTCGGGGGGTGAGAAGCAGAGAATCGGCATGGCGCGCATGTTCTACCACAGGTGAGCTGGGCAGTCCGGGGCGCTCAGGCTCCCTCCGGCACTGAGCCCGCAGCAGAGACGAAAGGGCAGCCTGGGGGGATCCCAGGTCGCTGGGTGGGACAGCCAGGTGCCCTGGGGCCATTAGGAGTCCTCACCCCGGGCCCAGATTGGCCTCAAGAAGCAGAATGGAGATTCGCACCGTGGGGGGCAGGCCAACGCTTCTGCGAAGGAGGGTCCACAGCCTGGTGCGTTGGGCCCTGCCCCCAGACCCAAGTACGCCCTCCTGGATGAATGCACCAGCGCTGTGAGCATCGATGTAGAAGGCAAGATCTTCCAGGCGGCCAAGGACGCCGGCATCGCGCTGCTGTCCATCACCCACCGGCCCTCCCTGTGGTAGGTGCCCCCCCTTCCCGCCTGCATTCAGCACCCCTGGGACATGGCAGCTGGGGGGCGGGGGGTGGGTAGGGCTGCTGCCGGGGGCGGGGGTGCGGGCTGCCAAGTGCCTCCTGCCCAATGGCCTCTGCTCCTCCGCCCCCGTCCCTCTCCCGGCCCAGGAAGTACCACACACACCTGCTACAGTTTGATGGGGAGGGTGGCTGGAAGTTCGAGAAGCTAGACTCGGCCGCTCGCCTGAGCCTGACTGAAGAGAAGCAGCGGCTGGAGCAGCAGCTGGCGGGCATTCCCAAGATGCAGCGGCGCCTCCAGGAGCTGTGCCAGATCCTGGGCCAAGGCTCTGGGGTCCTCCAGGGCGCCGCCCCGCCCTGAGCCCCGGGATCACATGAAGGAAACGGCAGCACCCGGCCGCCCGCCCCTCCAGCCAGCCCTGCCGCAGGCCCGCCCCGCATGCCTTTCCCTCCCAGGCCTCCTGGCCGCCACCTGCCCCGCCTAGAGGACCGCCAGCAAACGCGCGCACCTGTCCCTGCACCCCCTTCCCTGGGCAGGGCGGGTGGCCCTTTCTTCTCTTCCAGGAGGAGGTGAGGGGTGGAGGTGAGACCCCAGCTCACACTGCCAGCCAGTCTGTGCAGAGCCTTGCGTCTGTGGGGCCCTGCTCTCCTGGCACTGTGGTCCCCCTCATTCCCTCCCCTTCTGCCCCTCGGAGACCCCACAGGCCACCTGTTGCTACTGCCCAGATGGCCCACCGAGGCTCCCGTCCCACGGGCTGCCCTTCCTGCCATGGAAATGGGCGAATGGGGCCCACAGGCAGACAGGGCCCCTGGTGGGAACCCCTTCTCCCTTTCCAAGAGCCCTCGGGAGGAAGAACTGCACAGCATTTCTTAGCAAGCGATGATGAGAATGTAGTCCCTGCCCTCCTCGGCCCGTAGCCTTCTTTCCTTCTAATTTATTGGGTGTATTGGATTCCTGTTTGTAGCCATCCCGATTGCCAACACGAGCACCCTGCCGGCACCGGAGGCGGCCCGGGCCACCGTCCTTCCGCAGGTGGCCTAGCCATTGAGCCAGCCCCCAGAGGCCCACACTGCCAGCCCCCTCCAGGGGGTGGGGGTTGCAGACCAACTGAACGGGGAAGGGGTACTGGGGCTGCCGGGCGTGAGGGCGCCTGTGTGCCCAGCTCAGTGCCAAAGAGGGGTCAGCCAGGGGAGCTGTCTCTGCAAAGCCAGCGCCCGCCCAAGAGGGGGACCCCACCACAGCCACCACCGCATGTGCCTTTCCAGGCCCTCAGCCCTCCGGCCGGGGAGCCTCCCTCAATCCCTCAGTAAAAGCCTCCCACAGAAAGTGCGATCCCGTCTCCTAGCCTGTTTGTGCAGCAGGGCTTGGGGAGAGGTGGGCCGGGAGCATCAGGTCGCCTGGGATAGAAGGACTAACCTTGACCCCCACCCGAACACACAGCTCAGCGGCTCAGCGTATTCTCCAGGGGACATGCCCGGGAGGGAGATTTAGCAACATCTGCCAAACTTATTGGCTGCCTGCAAACCGGAGTCTCGTGCAATCCCAGGCACAGTACTGGGGTGGAGAGGAGGGGGCTGGCACCCAGTCCCTGCAAGAGGAGCTTTGAGAGAGCTACTCTGGGAAAAGCAGCCAGCTGCAAAGTGGGCAGGGCCAAGGGCCCACAGAGGAGGAAGCGTCCTGGTGCTGCTGGCCGAGGGGCAGCAGGGAAAAGATGGTTCTAGACCTTCTAGGAGGAGGGAAAGCTTGTGCAAAAGCCCAGAGGTGAATCAGGAGCCAGACGCAGGGCGTCAACGTGACGCGGAGGGCAGAGGAGGGGAGGGGCTCGGGCCATGCTGGGGAGCCTAGATTTACTTCGGAGGCGACGAGAAGCCACCGAAGGGTTTTCAGCAGGTTGGAGGCAGGCCACATGCAGTTACGCTTCTAGTAGGTGAGTGCAGGACTGTTTGGAAGGAGGCAAGAGCGCACAGCCTGGTCCCCGTCCCCTGCGGGTAGCCAGGGACATGGAGTGGCCATTGTGGCAGGCTAAGCATGGGGCTGCCATACCACCCGGCACGTCCACCCCTGGCTTAAACCCAAGCAAACTGAAAACAGGTGTTGAGCCAAACACTTAGATGTGAACGTTCATGGTGGTGCTGTTGATAATCCAAAACCGGAAGCAACCCAAAAGCCCGTCGATATCAGTGGACAGAACGCGGTGTGTCCGCGCGACGGCCTGCCACTCGGCGGGAACGAGGGATGGAGGTCTGGCCCCTGCTGCACCAGGAAGGGACCCGGAGGACGTGGCGGGCTGCGAGGAGCCGGACGCAGGAGCTCGCATGCTGTACGACGGCACCGATAGGAGATGTCGGGGACGGGCAAGTCCCTGGCCGACGGGTGGGTGCGGGCGGCTGGGGCGGGGAGGGGCAGGTGGGAAATGTTGAGTGACTGCGTAAGGAGTACGGGCTTTCCTTTCGGGGTGATGTTCTGGAACCGTACAGGTGATGGCTACACATCTTTGTGACTGGACTAAATACCTCTGTACTGTGCCCATTAAAAGGGAAAATTTTAAGTCATGTGAATTTCACCTCGGAAAATAGATCTATAGATAATACGATAGACACATAGATTGATTGATTGATTGACTGATGGTAGCTAGATGATGCATGATTGATAGGTAATAGATGACATATGCAGAAAGATGATAGATGATAAAGGTAAAAGCACTTAAAGCACCACTTTGAGCTGCCCAGGCAAGATGTACTGACACTTGAGCTCCTAGAAATAGAAGAGTGAAATTAGAAGAAAGACAAGAAGCTTGGGGGGGGCGGCGGTCAGACTCGGGGGAGTGGAGAGGGAGATTCAAGATGACCCTTGGGCCCTGGCTTAGGTGGCCGGGTGGGTGATGGCAGCCTTCGCTGAAGGAGGGGCAGGTGGTGATTGAAGATACAAGCACCTGGGAAGGAGGTGCTCGGTGTTTCATCTGGGGGATGGGAAATAGCCTACATTTTCCCTAATTTAGGGGTTAGGATCTGTTCCTGATCCCAGGAGAGGAGCTGTTCCCCCTTTTCTTCCCAAGATTGTTTAAGTTTTCCCTGCCTGATAATAAATCCTTTTTTTTTTTTTTTAACTTGCATAGCTAGGATGGTTCTGTGGTCTGCCGCCAAACCGTAATTGATACAGATGGAAAGAGACATAGTTGGTGAATACTGTCCGAAAGGAAGTTGGTGGAGAGAAATGAACATCAGACAAAGTGGACCTCAGGGCACAAATCATTATTAAGAATAAAACAGGTTGCTGCATAATGATTAAAGAAATAATTCATTCAAAAGCATTAACCATTAACATGCGTGCACCTGCCTAATGGTAGAACCTGAAATGTATGTCAAACAAAAAAGCAGCACAGTAAAGAGAAAAATTAATAAATTAGAAAATCTGCCACAATAAATTATGCTTATCACTACACTTGGTAGCTCAAAGCGACAAAACTTGTAAGATTAGGGGCGCCTGGGTGGCTCAGTCCACTAAGCTCTGACTTCGGCTCAGGTGGTGATCTGGCAGTTCACGGGTTCTAGCCCCACATTGGGCTCTGTGCTGTCAGCACAGATTCTCTGTCCCCTCTCTCTCTGTCTCTCCCTCCCTCCCTCCCTCTCTCTCTCTCAAAAGTAAATAAACAAAAAAAGAACTTGTAGGAGCGCCTGGGTAGCTCAGTGGGTTAAGCGTCCGACTTCGGTTCAGGTCATGATCTCACAGTTCGTGCGTTTGAGCCCCACGTTGGGCTCTGTGCTGACAGCTTAGGGCCTGGAGCCTGCTTCAAATTCTGTGTCTCCCTCTCTCTCTGACCCTCCCCCACTCATGCTCTGTCTCTCCCTATAAAAAATAAATAATCATTAAAAAAAATTTTAAGAAAACAACTTTAAAAAGAACTTGTAACATTATAGGAAAAATTGAACAAGCTTCATTAACAGACATCCCAAAGCTAGAGACTACACATTCTTTTCAAGTTCACCTTGAACATTTACTAAAACTCATCATGTCCTAGGCCACAAAATGAACCGCAACCAGTACAAATGACGCTCTCAAACTGTGATAGAATCAAATCTAAGTCAATAATACAACTACGTCCTCTCATATATTTGGAAATCTTAATGTACAAACGTTAAGTTTAAAATGCACTTCCGACTGACTGGCGCAAGAAGAATTATATTGAAAATCTAAAAAGGGAAGTGAACAACAGCGAAAACACTACATGTGAAAACGTAGGAGATGTCACCCAAGCAGTGCTTCGGAGAAAATGTACAGCCTTAAAGAGCGTAAGAGGAGCACAGCTCAGGAAGCTAGAGAAACCACAGTAGAACAAACCCTAAGAAAGTAGACAGAAAGGAAATCACAAAGACAGCAGAAATTAACGAGATGGAAAACAGAAAGATCAATAAAACCAAACGTCTGTTCTCTGAAATTCGTAAAATAAACAAGTCTCTGGTGAGAATGCAAGGAAAGAGGCTTCAAGGAAACAATGATAGGAAGGAAAACAGGGATGTGGCCGCGATACAACAGCCGTCTCGGTGCCACGGGGGCTCTGGGTAAAGCGGGGAGTGTGAGCACCCGGGGGTCCTTGCTTGACAAACGCGGTGAGAATGACAGCAAGGGGATGACCAAGGTGGAAAGGAATAAATTCACCACAGAAAACGGCAGGGGTGCCTACCAAGAACGTTTTAGAAGCTGGCGAACCGGTGGAGGAGGAATAAGTGACTCAGGAGACCAGAGCAAAGCTTTAACACTGCAGGGGGAGGCAGCCACGAGCGGGGGCTGGTTTGCACAAGAACTGGAGGCATGAGACAGCTCAGAAGAACATATGCACGTATGCGTGGTCGGGGCGCAGGGTGGGGGCGTGATTGAAAATCTGTATAAGAAGCTGCTTGATCTTAGACACACACACACACGCGCGCACACACACACACACACACACATAAAGAAGCTGCGGGGCACCTGGATGGCTCCGTCGGTTAAGTGTCAGCCTCTTGATTTCAGCTGAGTCCTTGATCTTGTGGATGGGGAGATCGAGCCCCACGTTGGGCTCTGCACTGACAGCGCAGGGCTTGCTTTGCATTCTCTCTCTCTTTCTCTTGAGAAATAAATACTTTTTAAAAATAAAATAAAGGGGCACCTGGGTGGCTCAGTTAAGCATCTGACTTTGGCTCAGGTCATGATCTCACCGTTCCAGGGGCCCAGCCCCACATCGGGCTCTCTGATGTCAACAAAGACTCCCACTTCGTGTCTTCTGTCTCCCTCTCTCTCTGCCCCTCCCCTGCTTGTGCTCTCGCCCTGTCTCTCTCAAAACTGAATAACCATTTTTTAAAAAAGAATAAAATAGGGGCGCCTGGGTGGCTTAGTCGGTTAAGCGTCCGACTTTCGCTTAGGTCATGATCTCGCGGTTCGTGGGTTCGAGCCCCGCGTCGGGCTCTGTGCTGACTGCCAGCTCGGAGCCTGGAGCCTGTTTCAGTCTGTGACTCCCTCTCTCTCTGACCCTCCCCTGCTCACGCTCTCTCTCTCTCTCTCTAGAAGTAAATAAAAAAAACCTTAAAAAAATTAAAAAAGAATAAAATAAAATAAAAGTAAAGAAGCTGCTGGACGTTCACATCTTTGCCCCACATCTTCTGCTCTTGCAGAAGACTGGACTTCACCCTCCATCCTGTTAGAACGGAAGGCCTGTGCAAAGGCAAACTAAAATCATGGTGCAATATCCTTTGATTCCCACTGATTGGCAGAAATTAAAAAGTCTGACCATCCTGAGTCTTGGCAGTGATATGGGGCAGCAGGAATTCTCACACTGCGGGGCGGACAGGGGCGGTGCTAGAGCGGTAAACTGGTATAGCCACTTTGGAGAAAGTGTCACTCCTGGGCACATCCTGGAGAAGCTCTTTTACAAATAAAGCCAATGCCACGTACAAATGGTCCACGGCAGCGTTGCTTATAAGAAACGAAAGCCCGAAACGAACCGAGCGTCCAGCGGTAGGAGAATAGACACGGTATGCTAGAGTCATATGACAGGAAACCATTCAGCAATAAGAGTCTCGTCCTTGCGCAGGGACCATGCTAATCTCTGTATCGTTCCAATTTTAGCGTCTGTGCCGCCGCAGCCAGCCCTCAGCAGTAAGAGTGAGCAAACTGCAGCTCTGTGCAGCAGTTGGGACTCTGTCACAAATGTGATATGGAATTAAAGCGACAAGTTACAGAAAATTATGTCTGATACGATTCCATTTATATGAAGTTCAGAACATACAAAACTAAATAATACTATTTAGGGATAATTGATGTTTGGGATAAGTATGGAGAAAAACAAGGAGGGGCACCTGGGTGGCTCCGTCAGTTAAGCGTCTGACTTCAGCCCAGGTCATGATCTCACAGTTCGTGGGTTCAAGCCCCACGTCGGGCTCTGTGCTGACAGCTTGGAGCCCGGAGCCTGCTTTGGATTCTGTGTCTCCCTCTCTCTCCGCCCCTTCCCTGCTTGCACTCTGTCTCTCTCTCCCTCAAAAATAAGTAAACATTTTAAAAACCTTTTTTTTTAAAAAGGAAAACAAGGAAAGGGTAGTGGTTGCCTCCAGTGAGGAGGGAGGGGGCACTTGGGGGCGCAGCCCTCCAGGGGATGGTGGGGACGCAGGTCTAACGGTTTATCGTCATTCTCTGGACAGTTCATAGAACTGGTGTGTCCTCTCGTGTATGTATTCCGTTGGATAAGATGAAACTGCCATTTTTACAAGTCACAAATAGCTGGATATTAAGCAATTTCATCTGCTTTTGACCTACTAAATTCCATAATAATAAAACCAAAAGACTTTATCCTAATAAATGCAAATTGTGATGAAATGGTCATGCTCCTAATGAAATATTGTTTATCAAAAACTAACTCGAAGGAGAAAAATTCAGCCAAAAGTTCACATGGAATCTCAAGGGACCCCAAATAGCCAAAACAATTCTGAAAAAGAAGCACAAAGTTGGAGGAGTCACACTTCCTGATTTCAAAACAGGCCACAGGAACCGAAATAGTGTGGTATGGCATGAAGAAAGACAAACAAACCGACAGAACAGAATACAGACCCCAGAATAAATCGTCACGAATAGGGTCAAACGGTCTTCGACAAGGGTGCCAAGACCATTCAGTGGGGGAAAGGGTGATCTCGTCAACAAACAGGGCTGGGAAAACCGGACATGCACATGCAGAATGAAGCTGGACCCTTACATTACATCATACACACACATCAATCCAACATCGCTTAAAGGCCTGAATGTAAGACCTAAGACTATAAAACTCCTGAGGAGCCTGGGTGGCTCAATCGGTTAGGCGTCTGACTCCTGATTCTGGCTCAGTTCATGATCTCACGGTTCGTTGACTTGCAGCCTCATGTCGGGCTCTGTGCTGACAGCGTGGAGCCTGCTTGGGATTCTCTTTCTCCTTGTCTCTCTCCCACTGCACTACTCGTTCTCTCTCTCTCTCAAAAAAATAATAATGTGTGCTAGGATGTGACGAAATTGGAAACGTGTGCACTGTCGGGAGTTATAAAATACTGCAAGTGCCTTGGAAAACAGTATGGAGGCTCCTGAAAAAACTGAAACGAGAACCACCATATGATCCCGCAATCCTACTTCTGGATATATATCCAAAGGAACCGAAGGCAGAGGTTTTTGTACCTCCGTGATCATGGCGGCACTATTCACAATGGCCAACCTGACCACCCACCAACCAATGAATGGATGAACGAAATGTGGTCTATCCATATGAGGCAACTTTGCCTTAAACAGGAAGGAAATCCTGTCATATCTGCTGCACGGATGAACCTTGAGGACATTATGCCAAGTGAAATAAGCCAGCCCCAAATGACAAATACTATATGATTCCACTTCTACGGGGTATCTAAAGTAGTCAAATTCATAAAAATGGAAAGTAAAATGATGGGTGCCAAGGGCTGGAGACAGGCGCCAAAGGAGAGTTGTTTAACGGATATGGGGTTTCAGCTTTGCAAGAGGCAAGTTCTGGAGATCTGTTTCATAACAATGTCAGTGTACTCAACATACTGCACTGTACACCGAAAATGGTTCGGATGGTAAACTTTATGTTATGAATTTTTTACCACAATAAAAAAAAATTGACTCAAGAAAAAGCAGAAAACCTGAACAGTCCCATAATTACTTTAAAAAATTGGGTCAGTAGTTTAAAACGTACGGATCGGGCTGCCTGGGTGGCTCAGTTGGTTAAGCATCTGATCGTGATCTCAGCTCAGTTCATGATCTCGCTGGTTCATGATATCGAGCCCCAGACAGGCAGAAAGGAAGAAAATCCTGTCACCATCTCAATGCGCTGAGAAAAAGCATTCGATAAGAATCGAACACATAGCAAACTAGGACTGAAAGGGAGGCTCCTTACTCTCACAAAGGTGTCTAGCACCGCCCCCCCCCGCCCCCCGCAAACATCATACTCAATGATTAAATTAAGAACACTTCCTCTGCTTTCATTCCATGTTGTACTATTCAGGGAAGTAAAGTGAAAAAAAGAAACTATAAGTAAAAGGACTGGAAAATGGGAGAAGATATTTGCAAATGACATCTGATAAAGGGTTAGTCTCCAAAATCTATAAAGAACTTACCGAACTCAACACGACACACACAAAACATAATCCAGTGAAAAAATGGGCAGAAGAACCGAATGGACACGTTTCTAAAGAAGACATCCAGGCGGCTAACAGACACATGAAGAGATGCTCAACATCATTCATCATCGGGGAACACAAATCAAAACCACGATAAGATACCACCTCACACCTGTCAGAATGGCTAAAATCAACAACAGAAGAAATAACAGGTGTTGGTGAGGATGAGGAGAAAGGGGAACACTTGTGCATTGTTGGAAGGAACGCAAACGGGTGCAGCCACTCTGGAAAACAGTATGGAGGTTCCTAAGAAAGTTACAAATAGAATTACCCTATGATCCAGCAATTGCACGACTAGGTATTTATCCAAAAGACACAAAAATACTGATTCGGAAGGGCATGTGCACCCCTATATTTATAGGAGCATTATCAACAATAGCCCAATTATGGAAAGAGCCCAAATGTCCACCGACTGATGAATGGATAAAGAAGATGTGGTTTATTTTTTTTAAATATTTTTTTATTTATTTCTAGGAGAGAGAGAGAGAGAGACAGCGTGAGCAGGGGAGGGTCAGAGAGAGAGGGAGATACAGACTCTGAAATAGGCTCCAGGCTCTGAGCTGGCAGTCAGCACAGAGCCCGACGCGGGGCTCAAACCCATGAACCGCGAGATCATGACCTAAGCGAAAGTTGGACGCTTAACCGCCTAAGCCACCCAGGCACCCCAAGAAGATGTGGTTTATATATACAGTGAAATATTACTTAGCCATCAGAAAGGATGAAATCTTGCCATTTGCAATGACATGGATGGAGGTAGAGAGTATAATGCTAAGCTAAATAAGTCAGTCAGAGAAAGACAACTATCATATGATTTCACTCATATGTGGAACTTAAGAAACAGGGGTGCCTACGGGTGCCTGGGTGGCTCAGTCGGTTGAGCGGCCGACTCTGGCTCAGGTCATGATCTCGCAGTCCATGGGTTCGAGCCCCGCATCAGGCTCTGTGCCGACAGCTCAGAGCCTGGATCCTGTTTCAGATTCTGTGTCTCCCCCCCTCTCTGCCCCTCCCCAGCTCGTGCTCTCTCTCTGTCTCAAAAGTAAATAAACGTTCAAAAAAAATTTTTTTTTTAAAAAGAAACAGGGGCACCTGGGTGGCTCAGTCAATTAAGTGTCCAACTTCGGCTCAGGTCATGATCTTGTGGTTCCTGAGTTCGAACCCTGCACCGGGCTCTGTGCTGACGGCTCAGAGCCTGGAGCCTGCTTCAGATTCTGTGTCTCCCTCTCTCTCTCTGCCCCTCCCCTGCTCGTGCTCTCTCTCTGTCTCAAAAATAAATAAACGTTTAAAAAAAAAAAACGAAACAAAACAGCTGCTCATATGGGAAGGGAGAAAAAAAGAGACAGGGAAACAAATCATAAAAGACTCTTAACAATAGAGAACAAACTCAGGGTTGATGGAGGGAGGTGGGTGGGGGATGGGCATTAAGGAGGGTACTTGTTGTGATGAGCACTGGGTATTATATGTAAGTGATGAATCATTGGTTCTACTTCTGAAACCCACATTACACTATATGTTAACTAACTAGAGTGTAAGTTAAAATTTTGAGGAAAAAAAGACTGGAAAAGAAGAAACAAAATAGTCATTAGCGGCAGATGACATGATTGTATAAATAGAAAATAAACAGAATCCACAAAAGGAATCCAAAGAGAATTACTAGATATAATACCAGCAGAACAATCAGAGGGTAAATTAAAAAGAAGACATCATTTGTAATGCTATAATACATCTAACAAATGATGCACGTATCCTTTGGGTAAATATGGTTTTAAAGGACCTTATTAAATAGAGACGCACTATGTTCATCGATGGGGAAACAATATTTTAATGTTTTTTTTTTTTTATTTATTTCTAGGAGAGAGAGAGAGAGACAGCGTGAGCAGGGGAGGGTCAGAGAGAGAGGGAGTCACAGACCGAAACAGGCTCCAGGCTCTGAGCTGGCAGTCAGCACAGAGCCCGACGCGGGGCTCGAACCCACGAACCGCGAGATCATGACCTAAGCGAAAGTCGGACGCTTAACCGACTAAGCCACCCAGGCGCCCCGGGGAAACAATATTTTAGAGGTAGCTAGTCTCCAAAGGGATTCCAAATTCAACAAAATCTCTATTTGCTCCTTCGGAAAACTCCCAGCAGAGTTTTTCTCGGAACTTGACAAACTGTTTCTTGTTGTTGTTGTTGTTTTTTTTAAGTTTTATTTATTTCTGAGAGAGAGAGAGTGTGAGCAGGGGAGGGTCAAAGAGAGAGAGACACAGAATCTGAAACAGGCTCCAGGCTCTGAGCTGTCGGCACAGAGCCTGATGCGGGGCTCGAACCCATGGACTGCGAGATCATGACCTGAGCCAGAGTCGGCCGCTCAACCGACTGAGCCACCCAGGCGCCTGACAAACTGTTTCTTAAACTTCTAAGGAAAACTAACGGGTCTAGAATAGGCAGGAAAATTTTGAAAGA